AGCCAAACAACTTGACGCCACAACCATGTTTACATACTCTCATGCAAACACTCCTCTCGGCCAATCAGAGCGCGCGTACTATCTTAGTTATTTTATAAATGTCCTTACTTGTTTTGAGGCCGTTGCTTTGCTAGTGCTTTGATTTTCTGCAAAAGTTCAGATGGATCATGAATAAATGGCTGCATCAAATTCTCTATAACCGTTAGGATCGGTTACTTAAACAAAGTCTAACTTGAGCCGTGGTTTAAGAAATCTTTGGACCTCCCAGATCTCTTCTTTTGCAGGTTATTTCAAGATAAATGCTTTTCTAGTCTATGTTGTATGCTTTCATAAAACTGTTCACAATGAATGTTTCTTAGATAAAAGTGTGGAGCAATTTTAAAATGGCTTAGAACACAGTTTTCTTAACCACTGGCTAAACTCCGTTTAAATAACCGGTCCGCAGTGTTAAATCACCTCTACTGCCCTCAATTGTGAATTGCCTACCACCCCTCCCCTCACCAATGTCTCCACACCCTCCTCGCTATTTCACATCTCGACTTAACAACTAGCAGAAACGTACGTTAAAATTGGCATGCAGCTTCCTGCACTCCACAAATAGCCCAAAATTGCTTATTCTAGTAATATCCTTCTCATCGCCGTCATATATTACCGACAAGTTTTAAGCCTGAGCGTAGGAGAATATATTCTTTACACGTTTATTCACTCATGACCGAAGCAGAGTTATGCGCGTCTGAAGATTGATAGCCTGTCAGAATGATCTGTTTGTAAAGAGATTTAAACTTATCTTACTGAGATAGCATCTGGCTTTTTACTGTTTAACAGATTTTACCTTGTTTCTTTTTCTTGCCGGGTTTATCATCCAATGTTGTCTTCGCTTTGCGCTTCCCTTGTGGAGGCATCTTGGCGCGGCTGTACTGATATTTGATGCCCAAAACTCTTAAAACTTGCAAAAAAACAAAAGGGCCTGGGGAAGACACTAGGAAAGGAAACTGATATAGTACTCGGAGGGCGCGGCGTTGGGCAAGCCACTTGTGACCTTTTTCTATGGGTACGGGTAGACGAACCCGTTTGCGCGTAGTTACACAAAAGGTGGCCATGATTTCCCCGAAGTGATATTAAAAGCAGCGACGTTTTTGAGCGACGCATGTCAACGGGAAGTGAGCGTTACGGCTACCCCTACGAGTAATTTACTCGTATTCGTTCACGGAAACGGTGTATCTTTAATAGGTCTCTATTCATTACGTCTTTTTCTTTCTTCCTTTTTGTTTTCTTTTACATTTCAACCATGGCAGCGGAATAGCCTGTTACAAACGCCCTAGCTAGGGTGAAAGGCGCAAAAATGGGGGGGGGGGGGGGGGAGAGAAAAGCGCGAAACTATTACTGAGAAAATAAGTTAAACCTCTCCCTTTTCCCTCTCGAGGCCCGCAACCCAGGCTACAAATTGAACGCCCCTGATGCTACAACGAGGCGGTGACCTCCACTAAAATGCAGTCGTTATGTAATAAGTTTTGCACAAATTAAAGTCAGTTGATTCCAGAGTCATTTAATTTTGTTAAAAATCATGGGCTTCTCTGAACCGGATTGATAAAGTCATTTAATCTTGACAAGCTGATATCAATTTATTAATAAATGTGGGGACGACTTTTGTATTAACTACTCAAGCTAAAGTTAAGGTTGTTTTTAAACAGGTTATGCCGTTAGGTATGGTTATTCGACCATATAAACTTGTTCACACCAATTAGTGAAGCCCATAAAAGTTTTCATTTTTCGAGCGAGTTAAACTAATTTTTTTAAAGTTTTGCGCCAGGTCTCGCATTGATAAAGGAGAATATAAAGCAACTCAGAAATGGGCTATCACAGCTAGAATCACAGAAATGTGTAAAGATGAGCTTCTGCACGGTCCCATGCATTGAATATCCACGAAGCCAACAACCAACCGACCGGCTTAATTGCCAACAAGACGACGCAGAAGTTACAGGCTCTTACGAGCAAAACTAGCTTGGGTAGCAAGCGTTTCCCATCGCGCGGAAACGCTTGCCACGCAGGCTACAGCAAACCACGTTTATTTTTCTTCGTTATTTTCACAGTAAACGATAAATACGGAGGTTTTCCAACACGCTCTGGAAAGTGGGGACCTTGGATAATTTAACTAGCTCAGGAACACAACTAAATTTATATTCTCTGTGTAAATCATAATGCAATTAAATTAGCTTAATACATACTATAATTTTTATTTTGCGACAGCTGGTACTGTTTGTAAAATAGTTCTTTTTTTCTTTTCTTTCTTTAAATTTGTGTGTCTCTTCCCCTGCCTCGATTAGGCTCTCCTATAATACGCAGGTGGAAGCTATCGTGTAATTGTAAATTGAAAGTGAATGAATAAAGTTGAAGTTGAAGTTGAAGTTGAAGTTGGATAATCAATTCGTCACTTAAGAAACGAGAGCAAGACTGGGCCGAGTCAACTTTCGTAAAGACAACTATCCCAGACACCATTGCGGGACACATTTCAGTTCCATTGACGTTGTTCTGACGTCATGGCTACTGACACTTGTCTAAGTATAGCCTGACCGGAACGAGAACGTATCGCAACGTTTTAGTATGAACGGGTCGAAAACCATGCGAGATGGTCCAGCCACCCACAGACAACAAAGAGAGTTACATCGAGTGAGGCGACAAAAACACTGCGGATGTCAAAACACATCGGGGAGACTTGGAAAATCAAAAGTTTATTTTTTTCGTATTTTGATCACATTTTCAGCAGAAACAATACTTAAAATGCACATGTATGATGTCTAGGAGTTACAAAGAACATTATTTCCAGGAAATAACTTAAAAAAAGGAAGGGAAATATAAGTCGTTTTCGCTTAGTAAAACCAACCTGACCCTCTTATACAGATTTACTTACCAGTGACTTTCTAAATTATTTACAGCATTTAACGGCTTTAATTTTAACTTTCTTGAGTACAAGAAGCCAGTCATTTCTTGTGTTTTGCACTGCTTCAAGTGCATAAAGTAATCAGTATTTACTCTTCGCGGACGTCTCGAGTTCATAAGTCAAACATGGATATAAAAAATAATTCAACAATCCCGTTCCTGGGGTTCTCGGGCTTTAAGGTCAGCGGATGATCAGTGCCGGGAGAGACCCTCGGGACATTCAAAAACTTCGACACTTTTGATTGGTTGTTTAATAACTGCCCGGGGGAGGGGGGGTACTCAACAAAGTTTCACACGAGGAGGCTGCGCCCCGAGGTCCAACCCCTTCCCTTTTATATACCATTTTTGACAAACTACAGGCAGTCTCTCTTTTTTCTTGGTCCGTGGAGCAAAACGCGCGAGACACGCAAATGGCCACGCCCTCGTTTCTCGCGCGCGTGCACTCTCCTACTAAATCTGAAGAAAAAGAAAGACTCCTCGCAGTCTACATTTGTGACAGAAAAGGTACCCCTTTCGTATACCTTCTATTGACAAATGGTTCCCCTTTCACAGACCTAGTTTAGAACTTTGCATCCCTTATAACTGCTGTAAATGCACTGTCTTCACAAAACCAGAAAATTTTCTCAACTTCTTCCCAGCCATGACATTTGTCTGTAGCCCTTTTAGGTCATTTTACCGACCGAAATGACAGATTTCCCTACCTTTTCATAGACTTCAACAAGTGAAATCCCTACCCTTTCATACACCTGGAGCCTGAAAAAAAAGCCCCTTCGGCGCGGAGCTTTCCCGTATGGGCCATTATAGGGAGTAACCCCTCCCCCCCCCGGGAGTAACTGTCACTGTCAATGAATCGCTGTTTAATAGTTATTTTCAATCACACAAGGTGTTGTTTTTAACAGACCAGATACCATTTCCTGTCTAAGGTCTACTTCGAAGTTTATTAAAACAAGGTTACTGTTATCACCGGAATATTGATGTCCCCATTGTCTGTACTGGCCCTTCCCCCGCTGGCCGTAAAGTTTACAGAGTTTGCGTACGAATGCTATTTCAAATGTTTTTTCTCGGTTCCACACCATTACCGATCTCTTGTGCTTCTTTGGAACTTGCAGTAAAGTGACGTTTACACAGCAAGTCCACACTTTCGGGGTCCGAGCTGATTTCTGTACGGGGCAGAACGTGTTGCTTTAGAAGACTTGAGAGCTTAAAATGAATAATCTGTCTTCTTCGCGCTAAGAATAGAAAGAAGGAGAAAAACAATTGTTAAGCACTGACGGTGAAGAGAATCGGCGAAATGAAAAACAACACAAACCTTAATCCATCTCAAAAGCTTGTTAATGGCGTTTATGGCATCTGGTTTAGTGACAAGCGGACTGAAAGCTGCATACAATTCAAAACCTGATGTTACCTGCCCAAAAAAAACGATAAAAAAAAATCATGAGACTGGTTATGGAATTTCATGTAATCATTTAAAAGAAAGCTACGAGTAATGATACTGTACAGGAGGCGGCTACCTTCCGATATTGTACGTGAAATCATGGTTAACTTCAACAAGAAGTACACTTTTTGCACTTTTAAGCCGTGATTTTAAACAAATTTTTGGGCAAATCGCCTTTATAAGGGTAAAGACTCTTAGTAACACAAATTTGGTACTGTCAAGGGATAGTAAAATAGAAAAAAGCTCACTTCCGGTTGACGTGCGTCGCTCAAAAATGTCGCGGCTTAAACTCTCTAATAGCTCACCAGTCAGTCAAACCTTTACGTTAAAAGCCACAAGACTGGATAACTACATCCCTATTATACTACTAAAGGACTCTACCGAGTGAAACGATTGGTTCTGTTTAACATGCTTTACACGTACAGGGTGTTTCAGGTTTAAAAGTGGCTGGATAAAATCCTGTTACTCAACTGGAATATACCGCGCAGGACGTTTATATGATCAAACTTGTTTCTGTAGATTATTCCAACATGAACACTAATTCGAGCTAATAAGCAACTGTGGGAAGAAGGTGAGTGAAAACTACCATCACTTCGAAGTTTGCAAATTGTGTAGCCACTTCTGTGGCGATATTGCCCATCAATAGCGTTCAGATTGAGGGTAATTGTGTCTACTAATTAATTTAACTCATTCCTTACGTACCCATCCCAAGAGCATCTCTCGTGTGCCCACGTGACATAATATTTTCAAAGGCCTGGCAGCTGAGTGAATCCGATGATGAAGGTAAAGATACAAACCAAACAGTCTGAAGATGAAACAAAAACAGTGTTCAGAAAAATACGCTTAACTTTGGTTTTTTTCTTATATTTCATAATGTTTTCATTTAATATAAACTCAAATACGCTACGTGGTTTGGTTGTGTAAAAACACAGGGTACCTCTCTTGCTCTTCTGCTTCCACGTAAGGAGCTTCTAGTTCAGGGGAAGTGTACTGTGCCGTGCTTTTCGACTTGTAAACAAAATGATACAACTCTGGAATTCCAACTTGATCTACAAAGAAACATAAATTGTGTGAGCGAAACGCGAAATCAGTTACAACCAAGGGTATGTTCGACTGGCTAATAACGTGCAGCATGGGAAAGCCTATCTCATTCTTGATGGCAACCTTTTGTTTGAAAATTTCTCTGATAGAACCGGCAAAATTTACTTGTGTTCGCACTGGTACTTGAAAGCTAGTATCGAGTACACGTTTTGTGCGTCACAATTCTTCAAATTGCAGGATTGCAACATTAATATCCTCTACTACGATAGATTCAGCACAACCCTTCCTTCTTCCAGGAACACTAGTCTAATAACAGACACGTATCTAAGAGGCCGCTCAAAATTTCCTTTTTGTACAACCTAGAAAAGGAGAAAAACACAACACAAACGAGACGATTACCTGTACTATAACTCTTCCTCGCCACAGCCTCGTTAATGGCCTCTATACACCTGTATCTCTTCAAACGCTGAAAAATCATAAAACACGTTCTCAGAAAATTCACAACTGTAAAAACCGGGAAACTGGGTCGAGTTCACTTTCGCAAAGACTTCTGGGAATGTTACCAGGGAGGGAAAAAATTTGGCCAATAGCTGACCGGCGCGTCCCCAGTCACGATCCCAGAAACAATTGCGGGAAACAATTCGGCTCCAGTTACCTTATCGTTTCTAGAATAGCGAATGGGAAACGGGCGGGGTTCTTCTCCGAGTCGTGTGTAACAGCACGCAGGCGCTTTTCAAACTTTCACACCTCAAAAACCTTACTTACCTCTAGAGTTTTCTGTCTACTTCCCGCTAACTCAAAGAACGCGTTACGGTCAGTAGAAAGGAGTAGCAAGCAGGCAGGACAATTGTCTTCCAGAATTACTCTTCGCGGACGTCTCGAGTTCATAAGTCAAACATGGATATAAAAAATAATTCAACAATCCCGTTCCTGGGGTTCTCGGGCTTTAAGGTCAGCGGATGATCAGTGCCGGGAGAGACCCTCGGGACATTCAAAAACTTCGACACTTTTGATTGGTTGTTTAATAACTGCCCGGGGGAGGGGGGGTACTCAACAAAGTTTCACACCAGGAGGCTCCGCCCCGAGGTCCAACCACTTCCCTTTTATATACCATTTTTGACAGACTACAAGCAGTCTCTCTTTTTCTTGGTCCGTGGAGCAAAACGCGCGAGACACGCAAATGGCCACGCCCTCGTTTCTCGCGCGCGTGCACTCTCCTACTAAATCTGAAGAAAAAGAAAGACTCCTCGCAGTCTACATTTGTGACAGAAAAGGTACCCCTTTCGTATACCTTCTATTGACAAATGGTTCCCCTTTCAGAGACCTAGTTTAGAACTTTGCATCCCTTATAACTGCTGTAAATGCACTGTCTTCACAAATCCAGAAAATTTTCTCAACTTCTTCCCAGCCATGACATTTGTCTGTAGCCCTTTTAGGTCATTTTACCGACCGAAATGACAGATTTCCCTACCTTTTCATAGACTTCAACAAGTGAAATCCCTACCCTTTCATACACCTGGAGCCTGAAAAAAATGCCCCTTCGGCGCGGAGCTTTCCCGTATGGGCCATTATAGGGAGTAACCCCTCCCCCCCCCGGGAGTAACTGTCACTGTCAATGAATCGCTGTTTAATAGTTATTTTCAATCACACAAGGTGTTGTTTTTAACAGACCAGATACCATTTCCTGTCTAAGGTCTACTTCGAAGTTTATTAAAACAAGGTTACTGTTATCACCGGAATATTGATGTCCCCATTGTCTGTACTGGCCCTTCCCCCGCTGGCCGTAAAGTTTACAGAGTTTGCGTACGAATGCTATTTCAAATGTTTTTTCTCGGTTCCACACCATTACCGATCTCTTGTGCTTCTTTGGAACTTGCAGTAAAGTGACGTTTACACAGCAAGTCCACACTTTCGGGGTCCGAGCTGATTTCTGTACGGGGCAGAACGTGTTGCTTTAGAAGACTTGAGAGCTTAAAATGAATAATCTGTCTTCTTCGCGCTAAGAATAGAAAGAAGGAGAAAAACAATTGTTAAGCACTGACGGTGAAGAGAATCGGCGAAATGAAAAACAACACAAACCTTAATCCATCTCAAAAGCTTGTTAATGGCGTTTATGGCATCTGGTTTAGTGACAAGCGGACTGAAAGCTGCATACAATTCAAAACCTGATGTTACCTGCCCAAAAAAAACGATAAAAAAAAATCATGAGACTGGTTATGGAATTTCATGTAATCATTTAAAAGAAAGCTACGAGTAATGATACTGTACAGGAGGCGGCTACCTTCCGATATTGTACGTGAAATCATGGTTAACTTCAACAAGAAGTACACTTTTTGCACTTTTAAGCCGTGATTTTAAACAAATTTTTGGGCAAATCGCCTTTATAAGGGTAAAGACTCTTAGTAACACAAATTTGGTACTGTCAAGGGATAGTAAAATAGAAAAAAGCTCACTTCCGGTTGACGTGCGTCGCTCAAAAATGTCGCGGCTTAAACTCTCTAATAGCTCACCAGTCAGTCAAACCTTTACGTTAAAAGCCACAAGACTGGATAACTACATCCCTATTATACTACTAAAGGACTCTACCGAGTGAAACGATTGGTTCTGTTTAACATGCTTTACACGTACAGGGTGTTTCAGGTTTAAAAGTGGCTGGATAAAATCCTGTTACTCAACTGGAATATACCGCGCAGGACGTTTATATGATCAAACTTGTTTCTGTAGATTATTCCAACATGAACACTAATTCGAGCTAATAAGCAACTGTGGGAAGAAGGTGAGTGAAAACTACCATCACTTCGAAGTTTGCAAATTGTGTAGCCACTTCTGTGGCGATATTGCCCATCAATAGCGTTCAGATTGAGGGTAATTGTGTCTACTAATTAATTTAACTCATTCCTTACGTACCCATCCCAAGAGCATCTCTCGTGTGCCCACGTGACATAATATTTTCAAAGGCCTGGCAGCTGAGTGAATCCGATGATGAAGGTAAAGATACAAACCAAACAGTCTGAAGATGAAACAAAAACAGTGTTCAGAAAAATACGCTTAACTTTGGTTTTTTTCTTATATTTCATAATGTTTTCATTTAATATAAACTCAAATACGCTACGTGGTTTGGTTGTGTAAAAACACAGGGTACCTCTCTTGCTCTTCTGCTTCCACGTAAGGAGCTTCTAGTTCAGGGGAAGTGTACTGTGCCGTGCTTTTCGACTTGTAAACAAAATGATACAACTCTGGAATTCCAACTTGATCTACAAAGAAACATAAATTGTGTGAGCGAAACGCGAAATCAGTTACAACCAAGGGTATGTTCGACTGGCTAATAACGTGCAGCATGGGAAAGCCTATCTCATTCTTGATGGCAACCTTTTGTTTGAAAATTTCTCTGATAGAACCGGCAAAATTTACTTGTGTTCGCACTGGTACTTGAAAGCTAGTATCGAGTACACGTTTTGTGCGTCACAATTCTTCAAATTGCAGGATTGCAACATTAATATCCTCTACTACGATAGATTCAGCACAACCCTTCCTTCTTCCAGGAACACTAGTCTAATAACAGACACGTATCTAAGAGGCCGCTCAAAATTTCCTTTTTGTACAACCTAGAAAAGGAGAAAAACACAACACAAACGAGACGATTACCTGTACTATAACTCTTCCTCGCCACAGCCTCGTTAATGGCCTCTATACACCTGTATCTCTTCAAACGCTGAAAAATCATAAAACACGTTCTCAGAAAATTCACAACTGTAAAAACCGGGAAACTGGGTCGAGTTCACTTTCGCAAAGACTTCTGGGAATGTTACCAGGGAGGGAAAAAATTTGGCCAATAGCTGACCGGCGCGTCCCCAGTCACGATCCCAGAAACAATTGCGGGAAACAATTCGGCTCCAGTTACCTTATCGTTTCTAGAATAGCGAATGGGAAACGGGCGGGGTTCTTCTCCGAGTCGTGTGTAACAGCACGCAGGCGCTTTTCAAACTTTCACACCTCAAAAACCTTACTTACCTCTAGAGTTTTCTGTCTACTTCCCGCTAACTCAAAGAACGCGTTACGGTCAGTAGAAAGGAGTAGCAAGCAGGCAGGACAATTGTCTTCCAGATATGAAATGTGAGCGTAAAGATAGCCACTGAAAAAGAACAGTCAAAACAGAGCAATATTAAACGGGCTTAACACAACATGAAACGAGCTCATCTACGTTAAGACGTGAGGTAGACCAGTACAACATTTTGCTAAAATCTCCAAATTCCCCTTCCCTACCCCAATGTTTTGCCCTTGGTGAGAAATTAAGGGAAATTTTCTAAGGGGCAGTTTCCCAGACTCTTATCCCAATCTCGTAGAGCAAAGAGGAAGTAGATCAGTATAACATTCTAGGAAACTACCCACCTTCCCTTCCCCTGACCCAACATTTTGCCCTTAAGGAGAAATAAACGTTGGGTTAAGGGAGGGTTGGGGGACGTTTTTCAGTCTCTTCTACGGATCCCGTGGAGAAACTTGAATTAGATCAGTATAACATTCTGGTAATTCATACCCAGCAAAAATTGACCCAGGTAATCCCCCTGGGGTAATTTAAAAAAGATCAAGCACGAAATTCACTCCGTTTTTCTAGCCGGGGGAACGGAAGAGAAGTACTAGACTGCGCTATTTTCCCGTAAGATCGTCGAGAACGAGCG